GTGGCTGGCGCCTTAGCCGGTTGAGCTATAGGCGCCGAGCCACTTTATTTTCTAAGTAGAAGATGTAAAATACTAATTTTACCAAATCCTCTTTTTTTATCAAGTTTACAAATATACAAAACGGGAGTTGTCTTCAATTTATATTACATATTTTTTAAGCCAAAGGACCATAAAGAAAAGCCTTTGTTCTGCTTACAGTGTACTTGGAAATAAATTGTCATAGAATTTAATTCACTTTTTAGGCTACAGAGATAACATTTTATTTATTCATTCATTCATGCATGCATGCATTTATTCAGAGACAGAGTCTCATTCTGTGCCATGGATAGAGTGCTGTGGCATTTTAACTCACAGCAACTTCAAACTCTTGGACTCAAGTGATCCTCTTGCCTCAGCCTCCCAAGAAGCTGGGACTACAGGCACCCACCGCAACACCTGGCTAGTTTTCCTACTTTGGTAGAGATTGTGTCTCACTTTTGCTCAGGCTGGTCTTGAACTCCTAAGCTCAGTCAATCCACCCGCCTTGGCCTCCCAGCTCCCAGAATGCTAGAATTACAGGCATGAGCCACTACATCTGGCCCAGACATAACATAATTGAAGAAGTAAGTCAGTTTTACATATCCTGATAAAAATCAGAAAGTGCTTTTGACAACAGAAATAGAGGGAAATACTGAGTGGTGGTCTGAGAGTCATGGCTCATTTTTTTGAAATACCTTTGAAACCCAATCTCAGCATTCCTTAATTAGAGTTTTCTTTCTTTTATTTTTGAACTATGATATACTGTATTTTTTTATTTATTTATTTATTTTGAGCCAGAGCCTCAAGCTGTCGCCCTGGGTAGAGTGCCATGGCATCACAGCTCATAGCAACCTAAAACTCCTGGGCTTAAGCAATTTTCTTGCCTCAGCCTCCCACAGAGCTGGGACTACAGGTGCCCGCCACAACACTTGGCTAATTTTTGGTTGTAATTGTCGTTGTTTAGCAGGCCCAGGCTGGATTCGAACCCAGCCAGCTCTGGTATATGTGGCTGGCACCTTAGCCGCTTGAGCTACAGGTGCCGAGCCTATTGCTTTTATTTATATTTATTTTAGACAACATCATGCTCCATATTATATTACTTCATAACTTAATCAGGAAAATACTACTGCTCAGTTAATAAAACTATTGCATCTTATATAACAATAAAAACTAAAAATGTTTAGGACAGCGCCTGTGGCTCAAAGGAGTCGGGCACCGGCCCCATATGCTGGAGGTGGCGAGTTCAAACCCAGCCCCAGCCAAAAACTGCAAAAAAAAAAACCTAAAAATATTTAATTAGCGTTTTCAATTTAGTCATATCCAAGTTTCCCTCTCTGTTCTGAAAGGGAAGAAAATGCAAGGCAGCCTCACTTCTCACTGTCTTGAAATAGCCCCAGCAAGTTCAGTGTGTAGCCTTCATTTAGAACCTGAAGCCCACAGCTTCTGCCAGGCCTTGAGATTTGGGAGTTTCACTGGAACTGGCTCTGACATGGGAGCAGGTCACACACAGCACAGGCAGCCCTTGCACTTCCTTTTTCTGCTCTTAGCTTCCTCGGCTGAACTATTTCTGCCCTGGGGGTCATGGCTCTGGGCTCCTTCTAGAGGGGCTGCCTAGTTGAAAGGGCAATAGACCATCTATGGACCCAGACAGATGCTGGGTTGGGCTGGGAACAACCCTTCTGGGAAGGTGCATGTGGGGCATCAGGCTGAGGGTGAGGCCTAGAGGGTGCCTGCTGAATTTTGTCAGTTCTTCGAGACCAGCCTGAGCCACAGCGAGACCTCGCCTCTAAAAATAGCCAGGCATTGTGGAGGGCATCTGTAGTCCCAGCTACTTGGGAGACTGAGGCAAGAGAATTGCTTGAGCCCAGTAGTTTGAGGTTGCTATAAGCTGGGATGACATGGCAGTCTACCAAGGGCAACAAAGTAAGAGTCTGTCTCAAAAAAAAAAAAAGTAAAAGGTCTTCACCTGCAGGGACTTAGAGATGCTCCTTTGACAAGTACTTTGTTTTTAGAGATGGGGTCTCTCCATGTAGCCCAGGCTAGCTTCAAAAGTCCTGGGCCCAAGTGATCCTCTTGCTGCACCCTTCTGAGTAGATAGGGCTGTGGGCATATGCTACTGCACCCAGCAGCTGAAGGGACTTTGCATAGGTCCCACCCCATGCTACATAGTAGTAGTGTGATGACCACTGATGTCTGGGCTGTAGGCCTTCCATGTGGGCACATAGAGCCCAGGTGGCCTATGTTTGTGGTGGATAACATATGATGGGTTGGGGCATGCATGGGAGCCACTGTGTGGGGCAACCAAGGACCCTGACCCTGGAGCCTCTGGGACAGGCTGGTCTGCATTTCTTACTTGAAGCTGAATATTTTTTACCTTATGGATGTTTTCTTTAAAGGTTGGACAGATGACCCAGGCAGGCCTCCTGGAGCACCTGAAACTTGAGAATGTGTCCCTATCCCACCAGCTGACAGAAACACAACACAGGTCCATCAAAGAGAAGGAGCGCATAGCTGTTCAGCTCCAGAGCATTGAGGTGAGGCCAGGGGCTGATATTTATCTGACTTTGGGCCATGCTGGTGAGATTAAGAAGACATAGACACACATAAACATAGATACAGTTTGTTTTTTATTATGCACACATACATATTTTAATATTCTTTTCAACAGCTTACAGTGATAGCTTTGTAAGGTTTGGGGAGCCCATCCCTCATCTCTTACCTGTAAGTGAGTCACACCATGGAGTTTTTCTCCTCCACCCTGGGCCTGGCTCCCAGGCAGCTGGTCATTGCCAGTGGGATAATGCTTGGTGCTGAGAGGATGAGAGGAAATGGTTTAGTACATCTTTGTGACTGACAGCATTTCAAAGCCCAGCGATAATAGACATTTTTTTTTATTTCTGAGCACTCAGCCTGCATTGTTATTTCATCCTCCTGCCACCATGTGGAATTGTTATGTTCTCTGCTAGCTGCAAGCCCAGAGCCTCCCCAGAGGATGGGAAGTGTATAGCTTTGGATGGATCTAGGCAGCTATTTTCTTTTTAGCTGTGGGAGATTTCTTCACCTATCTGAGCCTCATTTCCTTCTTTATAAAGTGGGGATAATAATACCTACTTAATGTCTTGTTGGAAAAAGTAAGAAACAAACAGTATAAAACCTCTGGGCAGGTGCAAGATGGCATTTTGTGCCTGGCTGCCCTTGCTGCGTGCTGGGCTTGTACTCTCCTGGCCCTCTTCCATAGGTTTATGGGGGCCACTTAACCAGAATGATGGAAGAGAGTCATGTTGTTTCAGCTATAATACTTCAAGACTAAGTGACAAAGAGCTGAAAAAAATTTAAGTGATTAGTTTTAGATTATAAACTAAAACACTAATTTTTGCCCTAAGAAGTGTATTTAGATGTTAGGCCTCACCTTTACAGTACAAATGTAAGGAATGCCATGTTTGCCCTGTGGTCCCCTAGTGTTGTGTTTTGTTTACTAGGTGGTATCAAGTGATACTCTGGTAAAAAGAGAATGTTTTATCACTCACCTCCAAAGGAGGGACCTGCCACCCACCTGTCTTCATGGGAGAAATGGCCAACGAAGCTTCATTCTTCAGTTTTTAAAACTGGGTGGTATGCCTACCTATGTTAGGCCAGGCCTGTGTGTTAGCGGAGGGGAGGACTGTATTGGGCTGGCTGAGAGAGGAGCTCCAAGTGGCCTGGTCAGAGGGTCCACCCCAGTCACTTGAGCTGCAGACAGGATGGTGATGTGGCTGGGAGGCCTGTCTCCCAGGCAGCATGTTCTCTATAAAGCAGGAGGTTGGCTGGCTGTTGTCAATAGTCAAGTTTCCTGCTGTTTGAAAAACACTGTTATTTCCTGGGCCCAGGCTGACATGTTGGATCAAGAAGCAGCCTTTGTGCAGATCCAGGAGGCGAAGACAATGGTAGAGGAAGACCTCCAGAGGAGACTGGAGGAGTTCGAAGATGAGAGGCAGCGGCTACAGAGGGTAGCAGCCTCGGCAGTATCCCTGGAGCAGCAGCTAGAGCAGGCAAGTACTTGCCACCACATCAGGCCAGATGCCACAGGGCTGCACACAGGTAGCTGTATGGGCTTATTCAGTGTCAGGTGTGTCACACAGTCCTATATGAGGGTCATATCATCAGACTGTGCTACTGTCCAGATCTGGCCATGTGTTTGCTCCTGGTGTTGTTCTTCTTTGTCAGAATTTTGCATAAAAATGTCCCTCAGGGCTCGGCACCTGTGGCTCACGTGGCTAAGGCACCGGCCACGTACACCCAAGGTAGCGGGTTCAAATCCAGCCCGGGCCCACCAAACAACAATGACGGCTGCAACCAAAAAATAGCTGGGCGCTGTGGTGGGCTCCCGTGGTCCCAGCTACTTGGGAAGCTGAGGCAAGGAGACTTGCTTGAGCCCAGAAGTTGGAGGTTGCTGTGAGCTGAGATGCCATGGCACTCTACCCAGGGGGACAACTTGAGGCTCTGTCTCCAAAAAAAAAAAAAAATGTCCCTCAGGCTGGACTCAATCCTAACACACTGGGAGACTGAGGCAGATGGATTACATGAGCTCAGGAGTTGGGGACCAGCCAGAAGAGGAGTGAGATCTGTCTCTATTATAAATAAAAAACTAATGGGCATTGTGGCAGACACGTATTGCCAGCTACACGGGAGGCTGAGGCAAGAGAATGGTTTGAGCCTAGGAGTTTGAAGTTGCTGTGAGCTGTGACACCATGGCACTCCATCCAGAGTGATAGAGTAAGACTCTGTCTCAAAAACAAATAAAAAGCAAAAAAAAAAAGTCCTTCCAAAGTGATGTCAATTAAAATTATTTAAAATCTGAACAGGGAAAAGTAGGATCAGTAGGATCCTTGGAGTAAGATCAGTAGCACTGTATTGAACTTGTTACCTCTTTCCCAGGTTAAGTTGACTTTGCACCAGCGAGACCAGCAGCTGGAGGATTTGCAGCAGGAACACCTGGGCCTGCTGAAGCAGCTCACCTCAACACAGGAGGTGCTGCGGGCCAGGGAGCAGGCCCTTGATAGCCTGCAGACGCACTTCGACGAGCTGCAGGCCAGGCTGGGGGAGCTGCAGGGGGAGGCAGCCTCCAGAGAGGACACAATCCACTTCCTGCAGAATGAGAAGATTGTCCTGGAGGTGGCTCTGCAGGCGGCTAGGAGCAGCAAGGAGGAATGTGACAAAGAAGCAAGACGCTTAGAGGAAGGTACTGAGGAAACGTCTGGAATTTTAGAGCAGTTGAGAGAAGAATTAGCCATCAAGTCCAGCCAGGTAACACAGTCTGCTATCATTTTGTTATGAGTCAAAATCATATACACAAGAATGAGTGCTGATTGGTCCTTTTTTTGGATGTGTTTTGCAATGTGAGTGACCACTATGGCTCAGCTCCACAGGGGACAGAATCAGACCAGTGTCTGTGGTTTTGGCCCTGCAATAGCTGCTGGGAGTAGAGAAGCGCAGACCTGGGAAATTGAGTTTCGGGTGGGCTTTTGGAAGTACTCTACCAAGAAACACCAGTTTCTGCCCACTGATGATGTGTAGCAAAGAGTCAGGAGGAACCGCAAGAAAATTGGTTGTGCCTCCTGGTATGTGGCCCCACCAGACTCTTGGGCAGGGCAGCTGTGGTGTGAGGTGGTACTGGGGGGCCACGAGCCAGCAGGGCCTGGCCCATGGACCACATTCCTGGAGCCTGGGAGCATCACTGACAAATGCACCATGCCAGAGAAGAGCTGATGCACTGACAGCATGCTGTGGTTTTGATATAGGCAAACATGCTTGAAAATGTAGACAAATGATGTGGAGGAAGTAGAATTGGTGTTGAGCAATAAATCCTACTCTAAAGTGAAACAACTCAGAAACACAAAGTCAAATACCAGCCAGGTGCAGTGGCTAATGCCTATAATCCTAGCACTCTTGGAGGCTAATATGGGTGGATTACTAGAGCTCAGCCTGAGCAAGAGTGAGACCCCATCTCTACTAAAAATGAAAAACTGAGGCAAGAGGATCACTTGAGCCCAAGAGTTTGAGGTTGCTGTGAGCTAGGATGCCACAGCACTCTACCAAGGGTGAAAGAGTGAGACTCTGTCTCAAAAAAAAAAAAAAAAAAGTCAAATATCACATGTTCTCACATGTGGGAGCCAAGTAATGTGCATACCTGGTCATGAAAGTTGGGTGGTAGGCACAGAGACTCAAAGGGTAGAGGTCGTGCAGTGAGAAGTCACCTTGGTGGATGGACACACTTCAGCGATGGGTTCACAGGAAGTCCAAACCTCAGCACTATGCACTACATCCACGTAACAGAACTATACTCATGCCCCCAAGTCTGTAAACATAAAAATAACTTATAAAATATATGATTTGATTTTGGAAGTACTCTACCAGGAAACACCAGTTTCTGCCCACTGATGATGTGGAGCAAAGAGTCAGGAGGAGCTGCAAGAAAGTTGGTTGTGCCTCCTGGCATGTGGCCCCACTGGATCACCCCCAGTAAAAAAAGTTACTTGTTTTGCATTATTATTATTATTGTTCAATATTTCATTGCAGCAATCATTGATTTCTTTTCCTAATGTATTTATCTTCGTTCATTCTTTAGCAGGTTTTTGTTTCTAGTCCTTATCTTAAACATTGTTACCATTATTTAATTTTAAGCCTTTTTAATTTTGTGAAGGCAGAAAGTGGAAACCAAATAAACACATGTATATGTATAGAGAAAATAATATATATATCTATTTATATAATTTTATATATTTATTATATAAATATATATTTAGTTATATATATAGTTATATATTTTTATATATTATATAAAATTATGTATATAAAAATGGGGGAAACTTAAAAAATAAATAAATGCTACTCTGTGTATATATATATATATATATATATGAGTTGAGGGGGAAAAACTTAAAAAGTTTAAATATATATAAATGGGGGGGAACTTAAAAAATAAATAAATCCTACTCTGTAAGGAGCCAGGGCAAGAGGAAGTCATTATCTGTCTTCCTTTTGGGAAAGTAAAGTAGAAGGAGGCTAACTGACCACTCCATACTAAGTTATTTTCCAGTTACTTCCCACTCATTGCTCCAAATCATCAGTGGGCAGAAACTGGTGTTTTCCTGGTAGAGTACTTCCAAAATCATGGTGGTACCATTATGGTTGGGTGTCACCACAACATGAGGAACTGTATTAAAGGGTCGCAGCATTAGGAAGGTTGAGAACCACTGCACTAGATGGTTGTAGTTACAGTGTTGAAGGAGTTAATTTAGAGGAATTTTCAGAATTCCTTTGAACTTGATTTCACTCTTTGCTCAGTAAGAACATGAGCTAACACTTGGAAATCTCTGAAAGAGGCTTTTGGTGGTACCATGCATTGTTATCATATTGGAATTAGACCTGTACTGTAGTTATTGCACACTGGTAGTTATTTAATCCAGGTTCACCCCAAAACAGATGAGGTAGTGGTGGTGGTGTTCTTGCCTCCCTAGCAAGCCGCTTTTCCAACTTGGGGATCAGAGTCAACCTAACTGGGAGATAGACTGGCCCTGACGCCAGCCTGCCAGGTGTTGATCACTCCACTAGCCTTGCTGGGATATGCCGGGTGTCTGGAAACAGCACTTCCCATGTGAGGTTGGAAGTTTATCTGATCGTGGCTCTCCCTTTGCCTGGTTCCAAGCCTTTGCCCCTACATGCAGCTGCTGTGGGACCAGGGGCAGATAATGGGGGACCCATCAACAGGTACTAGGGACTCTTGCATTGATCATTCCCAGAAAGGTGTCTGAAGGAGCCACCCTCCATAGTGTGGGGAAAAAAATGGTTCACTTTCTAATCACACTCGGGTGATAACTAGGATTTGTGTGGAATATATTCTTGTCTTAGAAGAGGAATCATTCAAACAGAGAAATCCTTGGGTGATGAGCAGGCTCTTGCCCATTTCTAGAGATGGAGCTCCAAAAGCTACATGTAAACTCAATATCATGGGGCTTCCTCATGTATCATATGTGGCAGCATCTTTGTCACATGACATGTACCAGTGCTTTCTAGCTGCACAGCCTTGATATGTTTATCAATTGGCTGTTTTTTAATTCTTTGATTTGAGACAGGGTCTGACTGTCGCCCAGGCCTCAGTACAGTGGTGTGATCACAGCTTACTGCAGCCTGGAACTCCTGTGTTCATGTGGTCCTCCTACCTTAGCCTCCTCAGTAGCTGAGACTACAGGTGCTGCCACCACACCCAGGTTCTTTTTTTTTTTTGAGACCAAGTCTCACTTTGTCACTCTTAGTAGAGTGTCGTGGCATCACAGCTCATAGCAACCTCAAACTCTTGTGCTCAGGTAACTCTCTTGCCTCGGCTTCCTGAGTAACTGGGACTATAGGCGCCTACCACAACACCTGGCTATTTTTAGAGATGGGGGTCTCACTCTTGCTCAGGCTGGTCTCAAACTCTTGAGCTCTAGGGATCCACCTGCCTCATCCTCCCAGAGAGCTAGGATCACAGGCGTGAGCCACTGTGCCAGACCCCCACACCCAGATTCTTTTTCTTTTTTTTAGACAGAGTCTATGTTGCTCTCAATAGAGTGAGATGGCTTCATAACTCACAGCAACCTCAAACTCCTGGGCTCAAGCAATTCTCCGGTCTCAGCCTCCTGAATAGCTAGGACTATAGGCACCCACCACAACGCCCTGCTATTTTTAGCGATGGGGTCTTGCTCAGGCTGGTCCCAAACTCTTAAGCTCAAGCAATCCGCCCATCTCAGCCTCCCAACGTGCTAAGATTATAGGTGTGAGCCAGTGCACCCCGGCTTCACACCCAGGTTTTTGTTTTTTTTTTGAGACAGTCTCACTGTGTTACCCTCAGTAGAGTGCAATGGTGTCACAGCTCACAGCAACTTCAATCTCTTGACTTAAGTGATTCTCTTGCCTCAGCCTCCTGAATAGCTGGGAATACAGGCACCTGCTGCAATGCCTGGCTATTTTTTTGTTGCAGTTATTGTTTAGCAGGCCTGAGTCGGTTTGAATCCACCTGCCTCAGTGTATGTGGCCGGTGCTCTAACCACTGAGCTATGGACGCTGGGCAACACCTAGATTCTTTTTGTTTTTGTTTTTGAGACGGAGTCTCACCATGCTGCCCTTGGTAGAAGGCTGTGTTGTCACAGCTCACAGCAACCTCAAACTCAAGTGATTCTCTTGTCTCAGCTTTCAAATTAGCTGGAACCTCAGGCACCCCCCACAATGCCCTGGCTATTTTTTGGTGGAGTTGCCAATTGTTGGTTAGCTGACCCCGTCTGGTTTTGAACCCGCCACCTTCCATGTATACGGCTGGTGCCATACCCACTGTGCTACGGGCGCCAAGCACCCAGATTCTTAAGAAGCACTTTTGCTGAGATATAATAGCATTCACAAATGTTACCTGTTCCTGAATCCTTTGGGGTTTCCACATCAGATTCCGATTCAGTAGCACTGGGTTGGGCCTGGGAGTTTGTATTTCTTACAAGTGCCCAGTGAGTGGGAATAAGCTGGCCTCCAGGATTCAAGGCCAGGGTTGACAGACTCAACCTGGGGACCCAGTATACCACCTAGTTTTATAAATTAAATTTTATTGGAACACAGTTTTGTTTGTTTTTTTTTTTTTTTTTTT